ACCTGAAACCTACCCCTCCCTTTGTTCTTCTCAATGTCACAGTGTCACGTCCCTAAGCATCTGAAGCCAAGCGTGTCTGAAGGTGTGCAATCCGGCCCCACCCCTGTGCCCCAGGTTATCGTCGAGCAAGGCAGCCACAGCACTCTTATTTATCCTCGTACGCCGACGGGCCTTCCACTCGGATGATCTGGCTGATCAAGAGGCAATTTAACGTCCGCCCCCAAGTGACTCCAGGAATTATTTTACGTCGCAGCCGGACAATCACAGCCAGATCAGAGCCGAGTCCCCAGCCAGAAATGTTTATAGACGGTCTGGTAAGCGTCTGTAGAGGCTGCCACACTCGAGTTAACCCCTATCATGCGCAAGCAGCAGAACCAATGACTTGCAGCGAAGCATGCGTGTACTACACCCAGTGGGTTAGCATGGTGACCGTAACCCAGTGCTTCGTCCAGGGCCCTTCAAGAAGCTCCGCCCGTCTTCCCCCAGATGCTCCACGTGAACAATCACGACTCTCAAGGTTGAGCGCACATGACACCTCGCGATGAGAGGACTCTCAAGACAGAACTCACAACCTCACGGTAAGAAGTGATGGAGAGGGTAGATAAGGTTAAGAGCAACGCACCTCATTCAAGCTGCCCCCAACCATAGAGATAATCTCACCAGATGATCTGAAGATGATTGCGATGACCAGTCACAGCATCGGCACAACCAGCATTGTCTCGTCGTTCCACCTCAGCCTCAATCACCCAACAGATAGTTCTCATCACACTTCAAACACCCAATATTTACACGTAGCCTTCCAGGCGATGCCTGGGTCGCCAATACTTGTCACTTCCCCTCCTCACTACACACCAATCACAGCCCACTCACGTAGCAGACCGCACGTATGTACCGCATAAGGAAAGAGACAAGSGCCAGATGAGCGCATCGTACCACAGCTCCGATACCAAATTGCAAGGAAGATGAGCATTAGCGAACTCCAGCAATCAAACAGCATCATACATATGTGTCCAGATAGTCTTGACCTCGAACCAACAGCAGTCATGCATCACGAGATTCACCAAATCAGAACACACCAATAGTTCGTAATTGACAATGTTGAAATAGTCTCTCATCATCATCAACGAAGAACAAGAGTTGRTATCCTATTGGCGCTYGGCGCCCASACTACTWGTGGCAGATSCTAYCTAGCCTAATACTACAATGCCGATGTTGACAACAACAGCTCCCTGAAGTACGAGCATACAGCGGACAATGCCGCACGCTTCCAGCACCAGGTATGTCTCTCGTAACACTCACAACCTCGATCCACACCGCACAGATGCCACTTGCACCCAAGGACCACCCTGCGTCACATCCAGCCTACAGCGGAGCAGCTCGGCTATGGCTGCCCGCTACCTCCCTGCTCGCCCGTGATAGAGTGAGTGCCAGCCAGCCAGCAATGAGCGCAGCAGCGCTTGCGCAGCATGCAGCCAGCACCCGAATGTCGAATGAGGAGGCAGGCCCTTCCCTATATCGAAGTGGCCTGCCTGCGTCCAGTCCAGGAAGCTTCCGGTAGGCCCCGGTAGGCACAGGCCCAGTCACGAAGAGAGCAGGCCTTGGGCCTGAAGTGGTTGCATGCGCCCAACTGCTTTCGGCCTGTGTTTGGCCCCGTACCCGTATCCAGCCCAGGGCCTGCTTCACATTCATTTACACAGGCGGCCCAGGGCCTGGATTCATTCAACCAACTGGCGCAACGCAACTGCCTGAATTTCCCCRATGCGGGGTACCCTGAAGAATGAGGCCCGAAGGGCCTGTCGTGCCTGCCTTCACTTAGGGCGGCCGACCTTGTTGCAGATAGGGCCCCATAGGGGCTAAGCGGGCGTAGCCTCGCAATAGGACCTGCTTTTCATTCATAGAAAGAAAAAAATGCTCCTCAGCCTCCTCCTCATTTATTGAGAGGGTACAGAAGAGAAGAAGAAAAGGGTATCTCTATTGGACACCAAAGTTACTTTAACAGAGGATAATCATAAAATATGCCACCTTGAAAGGGGAGCTTGTGGCCAGAAGATACGAGATAAAGATGAAAGGATTTCACGATGCAGACCCCTGAAAGCCCGGCACAAACCCCCCAAGGTTCCGGAAGATTCGAAGTCCCAAGTCTGTGGTTCCAGTAGAGTAGGCCTGGTAGGCCAATAGGGGCATCCGGAGATGTAAAGTGGATGTCCAGTCGCTCCGGTACCCGACAGAAAAGTCTGGAAGGTTGAGTCATTGTACAGCCAGTCCGGTACCCCATGGAAGAGTCCTGAAAGTCCAAGTCCAGTCCCAAGTCCACAAAATTGCAGCAAGTCCCAAGAAAGTCCAGAAGCTACTGGACCGACAAAATGATTGCAACAGACAGGCCGCGGCTGACCGGTCCCGGTCTGAGGCAGGCCAAGCGAAGTCCAATTCCTATATTTAGCTGCTACAGTGCAGCAGTGGACACAGTTGTTCACTCGTGAAGTTGCGGAAGCGCTGCTGCTGCTTGTGTGATGAAGCAACTTGGGCAAAACAACGCTCGAAGAAGAAGGGAGCGTCGACGACAACCATACCTAGGGTAGTGATAGGGAAGCAGGGCGGCCATAGCCGCCAAGGTCTGCGTCTGAACCGAGTGGGTGTATTCAGGGCATGATCATAGGAGAGAGAGAGAGAGAGAGAGAGAGAGAGAGAGAGAGAGAGAGAGAGAGAGAGAGAGAGAGAGAGAGAGAGAGAGAGAGAGAGAGAGAG